CATTATTCAACTACTTATAATTATGAATGCTTTTAAATATATCTGAAATTAAAATAGCTAAATAAATTTACAAATGAACAGACAACTGTCGAAGAGTGGATAATTACAATTCGAAGAATTAGTCAGATTTCACATTAAATTTATGCATATACCTGTAATTTGTGTTATTTTATGCAAACAGTTTAGTTTTGATTTTTTAATTATTACATGCATGTATACTCTAACTTATATAAATAAAATATAAAAAACTATAAAAAAAGTTATTTTAATTATTATTAGTAAATTAAATAAGCAATTTTTTTTGTTAAATTACACACTAGCCCCCCCCCAAAAGGTTATTAACACCTGCTCTAAAACAGTGTAAAATCTGCAATGCAAGAGGAATGACTCAGGTGAGCTTCTAACATTTTAGTCTCTACGACATAGTACGATCCTGTGTGTAATACAGGGGTGTTTGTGGGACCCCAAAAAACCCCCTGAAACTTTTACGGACATACTACCGACATTTTGGAGTTTCGAGAAGGGGGGGAGAGAAATGAAAAATTACAATTATGAAGTATTGAATGACCTAATTATAAAAGTTCAATGAATTACTTTTTTTGCAAAATTAATAACCATAAATTTTCAAACATATAAACTACTACATTTTATGTAAATATTTTAAAATACCTGAATTAATTCTTTGAAAAAAAATTCCAGACACCTTTTTCTAATTATATAATATCACTATTTATATCGAGAAATTTCATAGTGAAATTCTCTTGCGTACATAAATAAAAAAATATTTCAATAAACGAAACGAAAAATTTACACGTGCATCAATAAATGAAACGAAAATTTTACACAGCGGAGAAAAAGTTGAGAAGCGATCAATGACAAATAGCTAATACGGCGAAAAATCCCCCTTCTCTACTTATTGGCGCCACGCCAGGAGAGATAAGACCTTTGAACCCAGAGTCACGTGATCGCACATCTGGTCGAACAAAGTCTCTCCCATTTTTTCCTGCCGTACCTACTTGCCGAAAAGAATCCAGAAGAGAATGTCCGAGAACCGGGGGAATGAGTCATAACTCGCAATAAGGAAAGAACAAAAAAGAAGTTTTTCCCCCCTTTTCACGCATTATCACTGCTCTGGAGAAAAAAAGGAAAAGTTTTCACCACACACACTGACCTTGCGTTTTCTGCTTTCAAAGCAAACAAAATTACCCAGATCAAAATAAATAATTCATTATTATTCCTACTTCCTTTTGAATGACGATCCCCGGAATTTCCGGGCATCGAAGTTCAAAATCCCCGGAATTCAGGGTTTCCCCGGAGCTCAAACACCCCTGGTAATAGGTTTAAGTTGGCAATAAGTCAACCAAGTCATAAGGAAGAGGGAATATGCAACTTCTGTTAGTCCAAAGCACCAAAAGATAGAAGACTGTCTTGGCTTTTTCACCTACTGATTCTAGCTGGAAATATTGGAATGGCCTTCACACCTACGGTGACCTTACCACAAGCAAACTCCCAACATACTTCACCCATTCCGTCCAGGAACACCCTCTTGTCACGATGAGGCAATCAGCAGGGCTTGAGGGGGTAACTATTGAACATAATATTCTGAAAAGTAGAAAGCGAATAAACATTCTTAAACACCTTGCGGGTAAGGACTGGAGAGCTGATGTGATTAACCTCATGACTATTTATTTGGCACTCATTCGTCCCATACTCAAGTTCGAGTTTCCTGATTCCAACATGACGAAATTAGAAAAGTTAAATTAAGTGCTGCTCGGATTACTGTGATAAGGCTCAGTTGCCCTATCAAAACAACCCTTTTTGAGGCCGATTTACAGCCTCTTCAGACTTTTTTTAAGTCTTGTGAAATACCTTAACAAACTCTCTAGTTATGGCCAATACAATAAAATGTCAGCATACCTCAATAAATGCGAAAACCGATAAAGACTAAAGAAAAACACCCCTTTTGGCCTAGTTGATTCCAAGAGAGCCTACTATTGTAATGTTCAGCATCATGCACTACAGTGCTGTTCAAACCCATCACAGGAACTCTCCAGGGTTCACACTTTTGCTGTAACTTTTCCACTCCTATAAACGAGAAAGATAATATTACTGTCCACCTTAGACAGTTGGCCTTGGAGGCCATAGACAATATTCCCAAAAATGCTACCAAGATCTTCACAGATGGCAGGAAAATTGCTGACTATGCAGGTAGCGGCATTTATATTGAGACCCCCGAGGAAAAATGACACTCCGTCAACGTAATCCAGATCACTATTCAGTTTTAAAAGTGAACTGATAGCAATCAATTTAGAACTCGAGGCTATACTAACAAAGAATAATTTTGAAGATCTATGGATCTTATCTGATAGTTGAAGCTCACTCCAACATCTTAGTAACTGGATTTACGTGAGTGATAAGTATCGCTGTCCTACAAAAACTACACCTAATTTCTCAGCATCATGATATCTATTTTCAGTGGATCCATCATGATATCTATTTTCAGTGGATCCCATCCCATGTAAATCTTTATGGCAATGAAGGCAAACTAGTAAAGATGTTGTCTTTTAACTCCCTCCTTACCTATCTGGAATTATATTATATGAAAACATCACAAATCATAGTGGAGTGGTTGATGCCCTTCACCCATCTCTGGTACCTGGGCAGCAAGCCTCGTTGGACTCTAACCTTTGAGTGTAACAGGTGCTCCTGAATTGCACTCTCACGTATTGCCAGTGGTCATATTATGAGCCTCTCTTTCAAGGAGAGTATGAAGATCTTTGCCACATGCACCAAGTGCCGAGAACATATGAAGTTGCTTAGGCCTCTCTAAGGAAGATATTCACTCCAATACCCTCCTTGTGCTCGAGTTTCTTAGAGTCAACGGTCTTTTGGACCTTGTTTGACTTCGTCAGAAATCACAGAAAAGCAACAATCTGTTAACAAATTATAGCTAGCATTTCAAAGGTGACAGTTCGGGAAAGCAAAATGCGCTCCAGATCAAAAAAAGTCTCAAGTCAGGTCAGACACTTCCGATGAGTTAGTGAGATGTTGAATACTTGCCGCGCAACGGTCGAGGAAACCAGGTGTAATAAGCTGGGTAAGCATAATACTGATGTCAGCTTTTCACATAGGCTGAAAGTAAGGATTTAACAAAAGATACTTCTGAATTAGCAGGAGCAGGAAAGAATTGCATAAAATTGAGTATCAAATTAAATTTAGAAAAAATTGAAACAATTAAGCAAAATAATAAAGAAAAAGGGGAGAGTTTACATGAGGAGAAATATACCATCTATAGACTAAACGGAATTCTGCGAAAATAAGGGGACTAATTTAGCTTTAGCTTAGAACTTGGAAGCAATGTTATGTAGGGGTTCCATGTGAGTTTTTTTTTTTAATAAAGAAAAACACCTAAATATTTAACCTAGTTGGCCCATGGGATAGCAATATTATGCATGGTAACAGTCATATTTAGGTCCAGATTTCTTTTCCTGGTGTAAAGAGAACTGCTTTGGACTTGTCCATATTAATAGCCATTTTCCATTTTTAAAGTCAAGACTCCAATGAGTCGATATGTTGCTGTAGTGTTTGGATGACCGAACTTAAGATGCATTTTGAGTCATAATAGTTGTGTAGTGTGATATGTCATTCGCATAAACAAAAAATATGGGGCCAATCAAACTTTCTTGGGGGACAGTCAATGAATTTGATGGCGTGTGGAGTAATAATTGTTATAACTAACAACAAATAAAACTATCTTTGAGATAAGAATTAATGATGTGTATGATGTATCCTGGAAATCCCAAAATGATTAGTTTGTACAGTAACCCTTCCGGCCATATGTAATCAAAAGTAAGTATCGAGAAATAGTGCAGCAGTAATTAGTTGACACTAGATGTAGGACGATTTTCTCCAAATGATTAAACTGAAATGCCTGACTATTGCATAAAATACACTTTTCAGTAGTGACGGATGTTAAGAAATCTGCTCTTCTTAATAAAGAACACAATTTGAATTTTTGTTCTTCTAATCAGGTAAATTTAGGCAGCATTTATACATGAAATTTCAAACTTTAGTTAACTAATTTTAAGCAGTAAAATTAAGGAAATTCAACTTCAGAATAATCTTCCATACAGTTTAATATGGATTCTTTAAATTGGCAATATCAAAGACAGCCCCATGGTTCAATTTGCACACTACTTCAATTTACATTATTCTATTAACCCCCAGTCACATGACTGTCTTTATCCAGTTGAGATTTTTTGTCACTTGGTTATAGCACTTTTAATTAAAAATATTTTTCTTAACGATGCAAATATCATTAATCAATTATTTACACAAATTTACCTAATAAATTTTGTTTAAATAATGCGTTTATGAGCAGATCCAAAAAGCCACACCACTTTCAAATACTTTTGGCTACTAACTGTAAACTTTACAGAATTTTAAAATTAAAGTTTGCAGAGAAAGAGGTCTTGGTTCTCTTATTTTTTTATGATTGATTATGCTTCAACATTTTTCACTAACCCCATAGTGTTTCATTAAAAATTCTATTAAAAAAGATTTATAAATGCATTCCTAACATGCAGCTCCAGGTTTCTATCACAATTCAATTCAATATTATGCAAGAATCCCCAAATCGCTTTTTACTACAACTTCTTTCGAAAGTGAAGACACTGATGCCACTATAGTATTAATTTAACACAAGAAGGGGCATGAATGCATGGAATGTTTCAATACATTATAAAATGACTATTTTTAAACTACATATTTAAGAAAACTTGAGTATGTTATAGACAAAAAATCATTAGCTTCTAATTCACATTTGTAACCACTATTACCTAAAAAAATGTCTGCTCAGATATTACAAATGACTTATAATTAAATTGAATGATTGTAATTATTAAGAAAGACTAAAAAATAAAAAATCAAGTAATTATTAAGAAAGACTAAAAAATAAAAAATCAATCATTATACAGCAACAAAATAAAAACAAGACAAAATTAATTTCGATCAAACTGATGGTTTTAATTGCATGCGAACTATAGTGCTATTTACAATGATACAGTCAGCGCATTTTTTGAAGTAAATACAAAACATATTATACACAACCTCGCTAAGTGCAAAGTCGCTCATACAACATCATTCAGCGAGGTTAACACAGGATTTCAGTCTTCATTCCTTCACGAAATCGGTAATAATCTGATGCTTCACAATGTAACTTATGCATTATGAATGGGAATAATTCACATTGGATAATAAGATAATTCGACAATGAAGTGACACAGAGCAATGTTATTTAGCTATACTTTTTCTTCTGTACATCATATAAACAAATCTCACAAGCTTTATAAAAAGTTTAAAAACTATCGGGAAAGCATTTTAAAAAAGTTATATCAGATCATTATAATACACAAGGATTTTGTACAATCTGAATGCAGGAAAATTTTAACTAATATAAACACTGTATGCATTATCAAGCACATGTAGATATGAGAGAGAAGCTTATGAGCAAATTTATGGCCATGTTTTCTCTCATAATTCACTCCACAGTGAAGTTCAATATTAAATTACGACTTCATAACACAATACAGTTCAAGTTTTCTTACAGTCTTGTACACTGATAACACTGGAAGAAGAGTTTAAGGACAACAAACTATCTGAACTCAGTACTTGAGTTTAAGAAAGTCTGAAAAATTTTTTTTAAAGGACTTTCGTGGTCTCAATAGTCTATTTAGAATATTTATTTTAACAATAAAAATTAAGACCATTTAAGATATTTATATTACAGAAGGTGAATTTATTACCTAAATATATTGAAAAAGCTTCTGGAAATCATTACAAACTCAGTCTACATTACTAATGCAAATTATACATTACTGTTTTAAGTATTTCTAGAAATATATTTCAAAAGCAAAAATACTTATTCACTTAGCTAAATCAATAAAATTTCACATTCACTTAAATATTAAATTTAGCAATCAACCTGAAACAGCTTTGGTCAGATGATTGCTTTACGTCGTGTTGAAATTTGTAATGCACTCCCTATTACTATATGAATTAGCAAGAAATAGATTATGTCAAGAAATCTAGCCCTAAACTCTTTATCTTCAAATGTTTATGAGATCACACTACGACAACAGCTAAAAGCTAGGCATTTTAATGTGTCACACAAAGTAATTGTGTTTTTAAGCTCACCTTTTCTGTTTTTTAAATTACATCAATCTGATGCATATTAAGACATGAACGAACAAAACACCAAATTTATGGTGAAGTCTAACACATTATCTATTTTGGTTAGAATTCACATAAATTGGCAATACAGAAGGGAAGAATAGAAATGAGAAAGACAACATGAAGAAAATGAAATCTATACAAAACAATGAAACGTTTTAGTGAACTAAATTAGAAATATTATGCCATAATTTTATTCAAGTTGTACAAGAATTTTCTTTGAAAAATGGTCCCAGTTTTTTTTCCCCTTGACGAAACATTATCTTGACAAAGGGTTGTGCCTGGGAAGAATTTCACATCATTCACAAATTACAACTAACAATTTGAAAAACTTATAAGCTCTCTATTTCACTCCATCATTTAAATGTATAGTTTTCTGACTAACCATTTATCTTATCTTATTTATAAGGAAAAAAAAAAAAAAAAAAAAAAACTACACAAACAGAAAATGAAATAAAAACTACATGAGCTACACCTAAAGCATTTTCCTCCTTTAGAATCTGACATGTTCAAAAATTATTCCAACAGCCTAATGAAAAAAATTCCACATTTATCATGAATTTTTGGGGCTGCCTCATAAAGTTCCGGATTTTCTGAATCATGTATGGTCCCAGTTAGGTAACAAAATGTTCAGAACATGCAAATGAAAAGGTAAGTGCTTAAGATTACAGCCCTTTTATTTTAAAAGCTGAACAGCATTTTTTTAATGTAATGTTTTCAAAATTAAACACATTCAGCATTACATACATTTTTTTTAATGCTGCAATCAAGTAAAAGCTTAAGATTTAATTTGGAAGTTATTAGGTTATAGAATGGAAACATTTTCATATATCTATATATCACTGGCAAAACAAAGTTAAAACTTTACATTAGTTTTTAAATTAAGTCACAAAAATAACTGCTAATCTAAAAAAGTTAAATATAATTTAGAAAACCTGTAAAATCAGTACATACACACAAATTTTGGTACAACAAACAAAACAGGTATGCATATCATAAATAAACACAGACCACTATAGGCAATGTGAATATTTTTAGAAAGCTAAAAATACACTATGAAGAATAAGCAGAAGTTTCATCTACATTGTAGTATGTCAAATGGAACATATAGCACCTTATGGATTTAGCAAAACACAAATTGATGGTGATGATGATTATGATAAATGTCGATGTAACAACTTTTAGTTGATGCTTCCTAATGTCTAAAAAGTTTTACACCATGAGGAAAATGTTAAAATGTTAAGTATCACAAATTTATCAGATGTGTAAATGGTACATTAGGGCTGTTTCACGATCACATATCACCAACGCTAATTTTTATTTAAAAAAAAAAAAAAAAAAACTATGAAAAGAAATGCATAACTAGTATTTACAGGATATTAACAAGGATTTTAATTACAGAAGTGCTATGAATATCAAAAACACATCTCTCCAATATTTACATAACATACAAAAATACAAAATTTACAATATGTGAGCTGCACTGTTGAAGATAACACACTAATTTCAAGCAAGCAAACCTTGCACTCTACAACTCAATGAATGTTGCACACAATTTAAGAACCACTTACTAAATGTAAGATTACATCACTAAATGTCAATGGAGAAATTGATCTGAGTGAGAGGATATACAGAAATCACTTATGAGGTAAATGATTATGACTTGACTTGAAAATGTGATATCATATGAAAACTGATGGGATATTACATGAAATACCTACTTCTTATACCATATATGAATGTTTCAGAATTTATATTTTAGAGTTTTTTAAATACAGTAATAAACAAAGGTATTTAGTTAAAGTGATGAGCTCAGTAGGGATTGCAAATCAATTATGGCATATATTATATTTACAAAATTAAAAACTGGATAATTTTTTACAACTGACGGGCAACATAACAAACATACATCTATACATAGAGGGAAAAAATATAAATACATTATTTGCAATAGGCAAAGCGGCAATAAACAGTATTTATTAAATTTGTAACTAACAAAGCAATATTAAAAATATAATTCTATTATTAATATCATATTAAAAACAGCCATGAAATTAAAAAAACTACAATCAATATGTGCAAAATTTTAGGCTTTAAATTTTATGGAAAAAGATCAAGATTATACAGTTTATTATGATACAAACTTTCATTTATTCTTTGAGTTAAAATTTGGAAGTAAATTTGAAGCTGGAAAAGCAGGTATGATACTATCCATTTTCATGCATTATTCTACACATACATTGGAGAGGGAAACAAAAGATTTTCTTTTATTTATTTTTTTCTAGCTGATCCAAATGAAGAAAAACCATAAAGTTGCAAACAGAAAACAGCAGCAGCTAGGTTTTTAACTTTTACATTTGGAACCAACCAAAAACTTCATAAATAAAACTAAAGCATTTATAAAAGAAATATTAACTGAGAAAAACATAACACTAGCAAAATTTACAATTATATGACAAACCAGTATTTAAAAAAATTCTGTAAAAGTTTACTAAAGGAGTTTTGAAATTATTCCTCGTTATGAGAGAAAAATTTAATTCACTTGGTGCTAAAAAATAAATGACATTCTGACAGTGGTAAACAGACTTTCTTATGCTCAAATGCAACTTTTAAAATCACCCATGCAAAAAAACTTTACTATTTTCTTATGGGTGAAGAAGCATTAAAAGGCTAGTTTTCTTTCGGAGGAGAATAACATAGCTGCCAACCTTAAAACATGAAAAATAATCAGGTTCCAGCATGACAACTGAGGATTTTTGGCAGGTTTCGCACTGTGTAGCAATTTCAGAAAATACTTTTAAGGAATGTTAATAACTAACGTACATACTGTCTTATGAAATGAGCTTAGTAATGTACCAAAGTAAAAAATTAAATATAAATATTAATTAAACATCAGTTGAATTCCATATTAAGTTTTATGCATGTCTACAGTAGATATAAAACATTCAGATAAAAGTACATTTAATGAGAAAAATTAAGCTGAAATCACTAGGGGGATGGAATGGAATTTATTGTGGAGAAACATTTTCCTTAGTTGAGGCTAAAAATTCAAAACTGGGAGATGCGATGAAAAAACAGGATAGTTGTAATTTCTTGTAAAATAATTTTTAGCTAGTAAAGAAATATATATATAAAAAAGGAGTTCATTATTATAAGTTAAAAACTATGATGAATATAAATTATGTAGCTATTTAAAAAATTACAAAAAGAAATGAAATTTCAATTTTTAAGAGCCAAAAATCAAATACAAGAAAGCACGGGTGCTGAATTTATACAATGTATCTAACATATATTGTTTAAATAGTTTTTATTTTAAACAAATAGTGGAGCTCATCACAACATTTACTTGGACAGATGTCAAAATAAAAAGACAAATTTACATAATTAATTCAATGACCTTAAATTTTAACTCTATTGATTGTCATTCTAATTAATCTCCGCAACAAAATGCAACTTATATTTTAAACATTATGAAGTTCATATAAAAACAGATATAATTAATATAATAAAACGAGAATTATTTTCTACAGTGTTTAGTTAATGCACAATAAAAAACTAACAACTTAGTGGCATTATGAAAGCAACTTTGGTAATTTAGCTGATATGAGAGATGAATATCTAATGAGTGAATGGAAGGAAAATGAACACCGGCACAAAACCCGTTATTTCAGTACTTGCACGTGATACATCCAAACATCAAACCATGAAAAAAATAAATACTGACATGTTAAGTTGCTAAACAGTCATCCTTTCAAAACTGTAAATTAAAGAGAAAGAAAATTCTGTATATTAAGAAAATTTTGGGTTTTAATACAACAAGGAGGACAACATGCTGCCACATGAGCAGTAAGCACATTATTTCACACTGTACATTTATTAATTTAATTGAAAAAACATAAACTTCCTTCATAGTCTGACAAGTATCACAAAAACATCACTCATCAAGAGATGATGTGAATTTAAAATAAGATAGCAAACATTTTCATCTATATTTACATATAAACATTCCACAGATCTGTATAGCTAAACAAACATGTTCCTAGAAGTACATATGATGGACAAGAAATTTTACATCAGCCTTATGTGGGAAAATGTAAGATTTATATTGATCCTGAGCCACATGCTAAACATATCCTGAAAACATTGTGAAGCATCATATGTGAAGGGAGGTGACCAATGATGCAGAACTGCAAGCAGCTGCTTGGATGCTTGGAAAAAAAAAAAAAAAAAAATGTACATAGAAAGTCTCACCTCACAAGAGTAATTAATTATTCTCACTTTAAACTTAAATGAAGTGTCACGTTACATCCATTGACACACTACTTTCACTTGTAACTTTTTCCACAACTTTAACCTTATTTAGGAATAATTCTTGTTTTAACCTAAGAGAGAAAGAAAAAAAATCTTGTTATTTCAGTTTTAAGCCAGCAAAAAGAAACTACTGTAAAACATATTTCTGAATATTATGCATTATCAATTGCCACTCACTTTTCAGTCAGTTAGCTGAAATATAAAACTTTAACATGCATTCATTACTTTTAAAATTTTCTCCACGGGTATGATAAACATAAATTTCATAGCTATAAATGAAATGGCAGTTAATATACCATATGATAGAAAACTGCAACTATCTATCTACAATACATAATAAATTTGTATTATTACATACACCAAAAAATATCTTCTCTCTCAATCAAATGTTCATTTTCAACAGCTGAAGATTTAGTAAAATAATTTTAACTTAAATTTTCCACATGTTCACAATCTTAAAGTACCTCTTAATTTATGCTTAGAGTAGTAATTTTTTAGTGGCATGATTTTCAGAAAATTTTTAGAGCACATTAAAATATCATATAAACTCTTAAATTTTATGCTTTACAGATGTGTTGTAATACAGGGTGTTTATAAAGTCCCGGATCCATTTTGATGTTTAATAACTCATAAAATAATGAAGATACAAACAAACTTATGGCATTTATTGATGGAATAACTTATATATTTTCCCTTTCAGGTTTGAATATCTTTACTTTTGTTAATATTGTCTGCGCATGTGGTTAATTTCAGATAATTTCATTTTCCAGTCTAAATATCTGAAATTTTCTAAATATCGTCTTCTTATTAATTGCATTTTTCTCTCTTTTGTTTTTGGCAACTATTGCAATGTTATGTTTACTTATGTACAAGTGTTTGTTCTAGTATTTCTGTATGTGATGTTTTATTCGACTGGATATTAAAAGAGAATGCATACACCACAAGAGAAAGCACAGATTTTATGGTGGTTCATAGAAACAAAATCTATAATGCAAACACAGAGAAATTGCACAAGAATTTACCAAAAAAGTCCTCCATCCAAAAGCAGCATCTTGCGGTGGAAAAAGAATTTTCTAGAAACTGGAAGTATCACAGATAAGAAACGTTCCGGATGTCCCAGCACATGTGATTTTGATGTTGAGCATGTCAGAGAGAGAAATTTTTACGCAATCCTCAAAGATCTGCGAGATTAGAGGCAAGAGAATTGGATATGCCAATTTCGGTGTACAAGTTTATTAAGAAAAACTTAAGACTGCATGCATACAAAGTTCAAATTGTTCAAGTTTTGGAGCCGGACGATAGGCCTAGGACAGGGGTTGGCAACCTATTGAAACGGAAGAGCCAAAAGTTATGATTTACAAAATTTCCCAGCAAGAGCCACTAAAAAGTTTTGTTTCAATATTATAGTTTTGCTTATATATATTTGATTTTTGACCTCAAATTAATGGCTTTAAATACGGAATAATATATATATATATAAACACAAATATTTATATAGTTACATCAATTGGACCATTGGCTTTGCATGCCTTTTGAATGATTGAGTAAATCTGGCTTATAACTTGTTTTAAGTTTCAAGCACAACTCTAAATTTTTATTTGTTAGTTTATTTCAAAAGTTACATTTTATTATATTCATGCAAGAGAACGCTTGCTCATACGAATATGTCGACCCGAAGATCGTCAGCACTCCATATGCCAACTTCTTCACCTCACTGTACCATTCTGGAAGACTATTCCATGCCCCGAATATTAGGGCCTCAACTCGCGGAATTTCGTTTAGAGCTGTCTTCTTGTGCTGCTTGATGTGCATGCATTTCTGGACCTTCAACTCTTCCAACTTGCTCTTGAGTTCTGTGAACTTGCAACTCCAAAAGTCTTTGGTTTTCAAATATAGCAGTTGCATTTGAAGCACAAATATAGCAGCATCAATTCCAAATGTCTCATATCAATGTTGATATCATTTGTATTTGCATTGAGAGGATTTACTATGAATGCAAGAGTAGTTTTGTTTGTTTTGAATTGCTGGAATCTCTCAGCGAATCCATCCTTCATGTTATTTAAAGCTATGTTGAAGTAATGCGTGTCGATAGTCGCATTGGTCTCATTGCGATATACTTCAGATTTTTTAGATGAATTAATTTACCGCTATCCATGTCTTAAACAAAAATAAGTAATTTCTTTTCGAAACAAACTACTTCTTCAAGCAAGGCGTAGGCTGGGTTGCCCTTTTTTGCAGTTTTAGATTTAGTTTCATTGTGGTTATATACCATGAAGTAGAAGTTCTGCAGCCGTTTGTCTTTTTCCAATTCGGGATGGTCAACGCTTTTTTCATTGAGGAATGTTTTCATTTCACTTAAGCACAAAGTAAAACTTTGCAATAAGTTACCTCTGGAATGCCATCACATTTTATTGTGCTGAAGTTGGTCAGAAAACTGGTTATCTGTCAAGGAAATCTTTGAACTGGTGATGGTAGAGTGCTTTTGCAAAATGCTGTTAATAATCTTAATTACCAAGTTCATGATCTCAACTATTTCTGCCGGAAATGTGTGGGCACAAAGCGCTTCTTGGTGAATTACACAGTGAAACGTTAGAATTTCATGGTTTACTTTTTTCTGAAGATGTTACCCCTCTATGTATTCCTGTCATACTTCTGGCTCTATCAGTTACTATCGAAACGATTTTATTTATATCAATTTCATTGTCTTCCAGGCATTTTTGCACAAGCATTTACTATATCTTTTCCACGAGAATTTGTCCCAAGGTCGTTTGGACCTTGGGAGGACATATACCTTACGAAAAGGGTAACTTGTGTCGTGTCTTTTATGTCACAAGACTCATTCATCTATAGCAAGTGAAAAGCCAGAAGCCGGCTGAACATCTTCCACTTGCATATGTGTTACATTTGAAAACATCTTAAGCAGTTCTATCTTGTACTGCTTTTGCAGATAATGGCAAATTTGATTTTTTTTCCTGATTTCTGCACTTTTTTCGTTCACCAGTTGGATATTTACAGCAAACTGGGTATATTTTGTAGTGAAGTGTCTCCTCAAATTCGACTCCTTATTGTGTGCGAGTTTTTAGTGGCAAATGAGAGAACTCTGCAATCTGTGTTCCTGCAGGAAAAATTCTAGAAATATCTACGGTATATTAAGACAATTCAGATTAAACAAATTTAATGAAAAAAAAGTATGTTGAAAATCACTAGAGGTGTGAGGAAACATTTTCCCAAACAACAAATACTGGGATATGTGATGGAAAATCAGGAGAGTTGGTAGAGATACGTTTTTGTTTTCCCTCAAAATATTTTTCTCTCTGCTGTGTTTCTTTTTTGCTTTGGGTTTTTTTTTTTTGGTATATAATAATACTTAATAAATATAATAGTTTGATATTTTCTAAATTATTAAGTTATTCTCAAAGTATCTGTACATATTCAGTAGTAAACAGCTATGCAAGAATCAGCAAGCTCATCCATCTCATTAATACAAGTACCACCATTTATTTAATTTTTAGTTATTAGATAAAAGATTATTCAAACTCCAGTAGCCTTAACTTATAAAAAACAAATGTACATTTTCTTTTATTAATCTAATACTTAACATCAATGTCAACCCAAGTGAACTTTAATGATTGAATTTAATAAATACAAGCATACCGGTTGTAACATATGTTAAAAAAATTTCTAAGAGTAATTTGCTAAGAGTATTTTATTCAAAGTAAATTGATTTATAAAAGTGGTTCCCATTTAAAAAAAAGTTTGTGAAATGCTACACTAATAGTTAGCCCTGAAGCACAATCAGCTTTTGGCCTGAAGGCCACCTATTTCTACACACTGCCAGAAAGAAGCAGTCTTCATAAACTCGCAAGGCATGGAGATAACACAATATTGCACAACATGAGTCCTGCTTGAAGGGACTATGATTAAGAACTCTGTTGTATTGGATTTTGATTAGGAAGTTAGGAAGTATCATTTTGCATGGCATATTATTCTAATTTTACACTTATGGACAACCACCTTTATTACCATATTTCAAACAAATATGTCAGATATGAAAATGACACTGCAAGACTTTATTGATTTTAAAACAGAAAAGAAGGCAAGGGGAATGATGGGAAAAGTTCAATCGTAGCTACCTTATGTTCCCTTATCCCTTCCCCTTTTTTTTTAAAATCAAAAAACAGGCAAAGATTTGCCCAAAATCAGTGCTAGGTATTAGAACATATTTTCAACATATCCAGAGGCATTACTGTAGTTTGAAAGCATATATAACAGCTGCAGAAGGGACATAAAAATGATCACATTTAGAAACTGAAATAAAATTCATTTGGTAGATGAACTTGACCTTTTCAAAGAAGTGGCTCTACAGCAAAGGTGGTAAATTTTTTCAGTTTTGCTATTTTTTGTGTTTAGTTAACAGAGATTTAAGAATTTTCAAAAGATGCTTCCAACTTACCTAGTTGTTTCATTTCCATTTTGTTCTAAACTTGTGAACCTCATTGTAGTTTGTGGAGCGGGCGTACTAAAAGTTTTTGAATTTATCACACGGACACTGTCACTAGAATGGCTAGCAGCTCCACTTCCAATATCTATGGACGGCACTGCTGGTAAACAGGAGTTCACACTTTGGATTACAGAGTTTTGAGGAAAATTCACAAGAGACTCTAAACTAGTGCTTAAAAAGTCTTTATGCCTTTCCAAAGCACTGCTGTCATTAGCAAACATTTCTGCTTCTAGGGAAGGAAAAATAAATGATTTAGAAAACATTTTATTCAAAGTTGAATTTCACATTATAATGAAAATATAACTACAAAATCTAAGTATAGCTCTTTATAACAGTTACCTGAAAATGACTCAAAAAATTCAAACAAGAATTAAAGAGTCTATGATATGTCTTTTAATTCATAAATTCTTTACTGCGATGGATCACATTAGATATTATTATATAAATATTTGAAATGCTTAGTTTCATACAAGTCAAACTCCTAAAATAGCTCTCCTTCATGTATGAAAAATTGCACCACTTCAAATTACATCCTAAGGCAGAAAAATTAAAAGAGAAAACATTTAAGATACATAAAAAAATAACATATATTACATTTCATTGCAAAATCATATTTAATTTTGATTGCAAAATTCGATGTCAGAACATCTTAAATTTCGTTTGGAGAGGGGGAATACAAGGCTACCCCCCCACAAAAAAAAAAAAAAAAAAAAAAAACTTATGATCATCAGCAACAATAGACATAAACTGCATCGTACTTAGTGGTCACTTTGCCAAACCACATAATACTCTGAAGATAAAATTACGAGATATCAGACACAAGCAAGTTCCTTAGTGTGTGCCAAAGGTCTGCTTCATTACTGAAGAATTTCCCCTCCAAAAGAGGTTGTCCACAGAATAGAACAGGTTTGCGGGTACTAGGCAAGGTTGACGAAGAGACCATATTCCTCCCTGGTCATCCTCACCATGTGTGGTCTCACACTGTCGAAGAAGTATAACAGATTTTTGTGATTAACCAATGCTGGCCCTTTCTATTGCAACTCATAGTGAATTTATTATAAGGGCTGCGAGTACAGGCCCACAATGATGGTATGCCCTGGTAGTAGTAGCTTGCAGTGACCCTCTTGGGAACTAGTCCACCAGACTCAAAGCAATATCTTGTGTTGGTGGTCTTAAGTGTAAGACACAGGGTCATGTTGTGGTTTCTTATGCTCATTTGTCTGACAGTAACACCTGCCCAAGCCCACGAAATTCCTTGTGCAAGGAGCACGTAAGATACACCTGTCGTTGGCAACAGCCTTGAGCCCCTCACAGGTGACAGTGCGATTTAGCTAAGTTTCCCCAAATTTTGATAGACAGCAACCGAGGGTGGGGTGTCCAAGGGTTTCCCACCCCTTTCCCCTTCCACCAAATCACAAGAGAGGATTTTTGGTTTGCCGCATATTTAGAATGCTGTCATGCTGCACCGACATTATACATTTACAAACATCCATGACTTCTCCAGGATTTGAATCTGGCAGTCAGCAGCGGTAACCACTATACTGGTTGGGAGGCTACAGGGCCATGTAATTAACCAACAATGTTGGGTATTCTTGGAAGTTTCATACTGGACCCAATTTTTGTCATTTCAGAGCACTCAACGAAGTATGGACGAGCTGTGATGCCAACACAGCAACAATAAACAGACCATCACATGTTTTTAGTTGGCTGCCAACAATGTGTGGGATACCCACCTGCTCAGTTTGCACCCTTTCCTAAGCAATGCAGGTAAGTCTGACAGCTTCCTCGGAAACCTCAATTTTACTCCACTAAGTTCAACACATGTTTGACAAGTGTTCTGCTTTCATGACATTGTTATCCAACACATTTGGTTTCCAAGGTTCATCACAAAGGCTCAAATCTCAACCTTAACTTTGTAAGATTTTCACTGTGTAAAATTTAATTACTGTAGAAAGTGACGAATCTCAAGAACTAGTTAACGAATAATCGCTGAAGTTTGTGTGGCAAGAAACAGTAAGATGGAAGGGTAGCTAACCCTTTATTATTCCAATAACATTTAACAAAACTCCGTCTTCGAGAGTACAATAAAGTTGACACTTGGGCTTGAACTTAAGAGACTAAGAATTAAACTAAAACTAAGATTAACTAAAGAAATATAGCCGAAGCTATCAAGTTTCTAATGCAGTCTGCCCCTTAAACACCAGATTACTGCGAAGATATCAAGGGCCTGAGTACGGCCGAGCGTAATAACAGCTTTGAGAGTGAGAGAGTGGCCAAAAGGCAGATGCATGTAAATCAGAAACTCTGATTCTCTCTCGCTAAGACCAAAGAACTTCGCGGTTAAATACCACTGTTCCTCATTATGTATTCAGACGTGATTCTAAAACTATGTTCTGGCTGGAAGTAGTAAGTTGAAGTTAAGAATTTGACAGGAAAGAAACTTAAAATTTAACTGTTAATAAAATTAACATAATTCTTACAAATTCTAGAGTCAATGCCTGGATTTGCATTCATTTACAGCATTCTCTTGAAATGCCTGACTTGTCTGATATGGTTTCTGATAGCATATAGGCCCACTACCTTAAAACAGCAAATCACTGGGAATAAGCTGCTTTGACAGCTCCATTTCTGTCCAATGCTGAATGAGCTGTGATGTGTGGAACATGCCTATAAGGTCAACATTTACACTACTATCCATCGCTGTTCTGGTATGTGAGCCACTTAGTTTTCTTTTTCTAAGTGCTTTATCAAATGGATATCAGGAAGAGGAATAATTTATTTGGTTACCTTGTAACTGCAATTTCAAATTTATACAGATATAACCAAAATTCTTATTTACAAATTATATTTATCACTGTTACATACAGTAGACTCCCTATTATGAAAATCTAAAAAGGAAAATTATGCACTTTAATTTTCGAACGATGTGGTTATAATAAGGACTTAACAAGTAAAAGTATTCATGGATAACTACCACAATTATGTATTTACAAGAAAATTTAAGTTCCAATGACAGTCAAATAGTGAAAATCCGCCGACCTGAAATCCGCGTTGCCTCTCAAAATATAAACATTCAATTTATAGGTTTTGGAAGCTGCAACATGGAGAACAAAATACAGAAGAAAAAATATTTACTGAATAATAATGAGTCGTAATGGAAATACTAAATTACTGATATCATGGTAAAGTTTTTTCCCCTCCAATCTGCATTGAGGTAAAAAAGCAGACAATTCACTCAACTTTTCTTTCAAGTTCACGATTCATGTTGTTATATTTTCTGAGTTCTGTTATTTCATGAGATTGTTTAATGCTTTTTTATCTAAATATTTTGTGGATAAATTAAAAACATTTTGAATTTCAGTGATTTTTAATACAATGACTCTTCAGAAACACATTCATGATTTCACTGCTTGCAATGTTGAAAAATGTAAACACATTGCATTGCCGGTAATGCAAAAAGTGGAAATTTTGCAAATGATAGAGGGAGGTACTACTCCTCTATCATTATTATATTATTATTATATATATCTGTGATTATTAAAAAAATTCACCATCAAGGACTGCATTTGTTAGATGAATCATGAAACTGTTTTCCAAACAACATCAAGTAAATGCCTGGTATAATGTATGGCCATCTTTTGTTTATTGAAACTGAGAGTGATGACAGTGAATTTTCTGGTTTTAGGGTCATTGCTTTTATTTTCGAAGGAAAGAATAAATGAGGCTTTGCAAGAAGATATCATTGAATGGATGATGTGTTCAGATGAGGCAACACTGGCATATCAGATGGCTGATGATAAAATCATTAGCTCTATTTTGAAGAACTCGCCACAGCAAAAAGCAACCTGCTGGTTTTTTTTTTTTTTTTTTTTTTTTTTTTTTTGGTGGACGCCATTTTGTTTTCACTAAGTAAAGGCCTTTCTTTTCTTTCTTTCTTCTTCTTCTTTTTTTTTTTTTTTTTTTAAACTCAACATTTTTTTCCAACAATCTGCTAGCCGAATTACTAGAACTTTTATGGAACAAAAGTGCTTAATCATGACGAAGATTAGGTGCGAAATTGGGAGAAAGTGCAGAATCACCCACTGCTTGCCGCATTTTTAAGACTTGCACATACACGGTATCATCCATGTACACGTCGACCTATTTTCACTTAAAAAAACATCCCAGAATTGCACAAAAATGGCATTGCGCACACTCTTGACTTTATCCATGTACACTGCCTAAGTCCTAGCTAGTAACCTTTATCACCTTACCAAAATGTTGCCAAACTACCTGTTAACATATTCCAAAGATTAGCCGAAAAATGTTTGAAACATGTAGGGGGAGGGAAGAAGAAAAAAAAAAAAAAAATTTTATGCATTATTAATATGCCTTATTTTTATTTATCTTTATTGTATATTTCTTTAATGCTTTTAAATATCCCTGTAATCACTAATATAAATGAATAATATAATAATGTTTCATTAAACTATTGCAGAATTTAAAATTTAAATTTGCTTTATATGAATGGGATTATATTATTGTATTTATTAAATTTATATAATAATGTATTTATAATAATTTAATTAAATGCATCTAATATGCCTTATTTATTTTGTTCTTTTAGTCTGAAAGTTATGATTTATCTTTCCTGTTTTGAAATCCGCAAATTCTGCACAACCTCTGGTCCCAAGCATTGCGAATTTGTGGACTTCTACTGTAATGGCAACCTTACAATGTCTAATAAGATACGATATCTTCATTTCTACTTCACCCGTATCTCAAATCTTGCCTGATGTAATTTTTGCCCACTACTACTCCCTAGGCCTCAAACTGATGGAAGTATCTGTGTCATCTACTACAATTTGCAAATTGTGCTCATCATTTTCATCAGTATCTAGTTAGTCTTCCCTACTGCAATGATTTTTGGAATCATCAAGGTACTAGACAACTTCGGTTTTTTTTTTTTTTTTTTTTTTTTTCCTTTCTTCACCACAGAGCCCATAATAAGTGAGCACCAGAATCACAGCCCATGCACACAAAATCCACGAACAATCAATTTGTAAGGGGGGGGGACATTCAAAAGCACACATTTACAAATGTTCAAAAGCAAACATTTGTAAGACATTCAAAAGCACAACTGTAACACATTCTTTTTGTTAAACAGAATTTACAGAGTACTGTATCATATAAAAATTTTCAGTCGAACCATAATTTGACTATACCTATTTTTAAAAAAAAAATCTAATTAACAACTTCTAAATATTATTTTTTATTTACCCCATACATAATAAATAATCATTTTTTTACTATATAGCTTAAATTATTTCATACACATACACATTTAAATTCATGTCATACAGCAGAATTAACAACAATAACAATTGTAAAAAACCCCTATCAAGAACCATATCATTAAGAGTTTAAACATATATTAAAATTAGATATGAAAAATATATAAAAATATTCCACAGTAAATATTTTAAAACTACATAATGCTTGAAAAGAAAATTAAAGTATACAATAATTATCAAAACATGCAATACAAATGAATCAATTTACTCAATTTAAATATTAATTTCAAAACATAAATGTGATTGGCATCAAATTGGAATAAGGTTTAATTATCGTCTGCAGGATTAAAAACATTCTTTTCTTTAAAATGTTGCCGAAAAATGGACCAAAGGCTATCTTTCTGGACTGTTCGAAGAGAAATACTCTTATTCAATTATTAAAAAAAGATGTGAAAAGCACGGTTTTAATATTTCTAGACTTTAAATAAGTGACATAATTAATATAAAAGGTAAGAAATGTCAAAGTTTGTATCTGACTGGGGGGGGAATGCATAGCTACATACAGCTCTTACTAAGCATGAGATCTCTAGTCGCATCTCATGCTTTAAAGGAAAATCCAGCCGCCCCCCAAACAGTTATTGCAAAATCTTTACATATCTCTGTAGGAACTGTGAACAAAATTATTAAATCTGATTTAAGGCTAATTAATTAAAAAAAAACCTAATACTCATCGCCAAGATCGTGGAAGGATGTGTCTCCAGATACGTTAGAAAATGCTTGGCATAATTTATGACCAGCTACCATATATTATGGTGAGGACGATTAAGATGATAGCCACGGATTTGAAGGTTTTCGGATATCGCAAACTAAAGGTGAAATTTTCCAGTTAATGGATTTTGTAAAGAATTGTGGTGAAGCGGTAATAAATGAAGATAATATAACAGACGTTTTTCATTGCGATAACAATGCCCCAATCATCAATCAATTAACGAACTGTGAAATCTATAGTATGGTTCTAGATTCAGAAAATACGGCTACTGATACTGAAGAAAGTGACAAAGAGGTTACTGAAAACAAAAGAATTTCGATTGACAAGTTAGTCAGTATTCTCGGCACATAAATTAGTGGACTTGAAATGTGGAACTTCGTAGCTGAACAAGATATTATATCTGTTTATAGAATTAAAGAGAAAGTATTAGCACAAAAAACGAAGCAACTTAAACAACTTACATTGAAAGAAATATTTAATAAAGTAAACAAATAAATACGAAGCTTTTTTTGTAAATTCTGATACCCTTTAGATCGTAATTGCTCGTTATTTCATATTTTTAATTGTATAATGTCTGCATACCATCTTACCAGAACCAGATTTAAATTGATGATCTAATATCCGGAAAAATCCCAAATCCGGAATCGCCAAAGTCCCGACTTTGTACTGTATTTGATATGCATGCTTGACAACCTACAATGCTCAAAAACCAGATTTTTCTTAATGAAAAAGATTTTTAATAACTTTAAATAGTTACTAATTCTTAAATGAAAACAGTACATTCTGCATTAATAACATTTTCATCCTTTGTTTCTACAGAAGAAATTTATTGTTTTTTCAATAGAACTCAGGTTGACCATGTGCTTTTGTGTATGTAGATGTTTGAGAACATTGGCCTTCCACCGAATGAAATCGAAAAATCGCAATGACAAACAGCACCCATAACAAATGCATTACATTTCCTTGAGGAAATAATAGAAGTAAAGTCATTTGTGTACAATTTTTGAAAAGCACACGAGTATTTTACCTTTTCCCCAAGCATAACTAAACTATTTCTCAAAAGCACATGCACTCTAACTGCCCAGCGACAAGATGAATGAAATAACAACCTGGATCTTGCTTTGTGTTCACTAGCTAATATATGCCAGCTGACACACAGCAGCATTCGATGCTCATTGGAGAATTGGAATATAGCGTTTACGGACATGTAGTCTCACTCACGTAGCAGAAAGCATGCCATAATTTGTAAAAGATGAAACTACTTTTGTTTTTCTATTTAATCTAGAGAAAAACCAGATGCCCAAAATCACTTTTCTGGGTGCAAATAACGAAGTAAAGCAAAGCTACATAAAAATTGTGAGAAATTTTAAGAATAAGAGAAAGCCGAGAGAAATACGTTGTAAATCGGTTTTGTGTCAGAAGATTTGGAAACCGGGAGAGTTGACAACTCTGGATATGTAATTATATCGATCTTATTTTCATTTCATTATTTTTCAAACATACTTACCTCCCCCGCAAAAAAAACACCTGCAAATTTAACTGATAATGGCCAAATTTCATATCATGTTTAGAAAAGAAAGTACACATATTATTTACACACTTCATTATTATCAAGCTTTTTAAGAAAAAAAAAAAAATTATAAAGCAATATAATTTTAATTTATAAAATTTTTTATACAAAAACTTTTTCAGGAATAATTTACTCAAATAAGAAACATTTCAGTTTCTTATACAATATCTATTTTAAGATTTTCTAGCTCATAAATCTTAAATAACAACAGATGGGGGGGGGCAGACTCATCTCTTTATAAAAACATTAAAGAAAGATTATATGTACATATAAATTGAAGCATAATAATGCATAATTTATGCAAATTTGATTGCAGGCACCAGAAGATTGTCTGCATGATTTTGTATTTCTAGTTTAGGGAAAAATGAGAATATGTGAAAAAAAGGGAATGCTGCATAATGCAGCATATGCCCAGTTCAATGCTCAATCACCAGCCAAGGTATATAATGTTATAGAGATAAAATTTTTTACACTTTATGCAATATACAAAATTAACTGTCACCACAAAGGACAGCCAATATATGGCTCACTCATACAAACCAAACTTATAGTTATTTTGTTAAACATGAACATATTTATACGTGATGACTTTCATCAGGTTTATGATTCTGTTTCATCAACAAGGTGGTAGTGAATCTGTCATCGTCCAAGACAGACAACTAGCTTGAACAAAATTCTTGACTGCAGCAGTATACAACCACCGAGTTCACTGCATTCTTTTAAATGTGGCATCTTTTCCTGAGTGGATGTTTTGTACCAGTTGGCTAATGCACAGGACTCTCAAGTAATACAATTTTGCTTTGGCATGTCAAGTACTTAAATGACTCTAATCTAGATTTAAAACTAACACCGATGACGCATTATCCGCAGATCATTAATGGATTTAAGGAAGCAATTTGATACATTGTCACAATGGCTCCAGCACTGCTGTAAACATCAAATCAAGTACCATATAACATCAATCAAGAACATGATTACCTACATCATCAACCAGTTTGCCTAATGTTTTATCATTTTAGTTTATATGCATAATTAGAAACTTTACAAAAAGAATCCTTCATATTTATTTCATTTATGCCAACTACAATTATTCTAACAAGATAAATACACTTTTCTTGTATTTAAAATTGAAAAAACAGTTATTTGAACACAATATACAATACATTTCTTGAATTATCAGAAAATATATGTTTTCATTTTAATACAGCAGAATGTCAAATTAAACTAATGAAATACTTTGTTTACAATCCAGTTCTGCATGATTATTTCTATACTACACTTAAAATATTACAAGGCAAATCATACATTATTAGATGTAGAGGAAACATACTTACTGTCAGCAACTGGCCCATTTGTTAGTGCTACCCTTTCTACACTAGGTGTAATACTGGAAGTATCGAGAAGTTGTAATGATGCGGCAGTAGTACTTGGAACCACGGCATTTTGTGAGCAGTTATCATCAGACAGTTCAGCAGACACAAGATGATACTGAGCAGGAGTTTTACAAGGAGCTGGTGCAATATTGAAGCATGATGTGGGAAGTGAAGAATAGGAATGATCTGTCATAAATACAATAACTGACTGTGAATCATCAGGTTTTAACCTTTCTAATTGCTTTCTTTGCATTTCAAATAGTTCATCATCTTGGCTTAAATAATTTTTTACAAAGTCTAATGCGGAGGTTTCGTTAATATGAGGCCTGCTCGTTGAACTCTCTGTTTTACATCTGCTGTAGTCATCAGAATTTTCACTTAGCCTGTCATTTAGTTCATCATTATTTGATGTAATTGTCCTTGGCCGGAAGAATTTCCTAAATGATAAAAAATTGCATTGAATAAGTAGTTCATAAAAAGAATTTTTTGATTTTTTTAAAATTATAAACCATGTAAACAGATCTCGTATGCTATAAGTTATAAGATTCTGAATCAAAAACAAAATTTAACTTACCAGAAATTGAGCAAAAACTGAACAGAGACTTATAAAGTTAGATTAGATTAGATTTCCAGCACTTGCATTGTTATAAGAAATAAGATTCCCATATGCAACAATACCAAAACAATTAATTTCAGCCCAGCTTTAAAATGCAGGTTTTTCTTGATCTTTTCCTATTTATGCCTTTGATATTCATTTACCAAAAAGGCAAATACTTGTCTTTGCGTTATTGCAAAGTATCTTCCTATTGTATGTTTCAATACACATAGCCAATACTTTTCCTTCACTGACACACAGGCATAGCATTAATTTTTTTAAACCTCATTTTAACAGCTCCTAGAATAACAACATAATAACCTCAGTTATAGCAGTACATATAAACTTTATGTGAAAAAAACATAATTATGTTCAGATATGCTAGTTAGATTAAACGAATTTAAGAATGTTTCATCAAAATTTTCTTGGAGGTGGAAGTCTATTTCAACATTACAAAATGTAAAAATTAAAGAAGTTAATTAATTTTATAGTCAAATCCATTTTAAAGGAACTTTTCAAATTATATCCACTGAACAGTTTGCTAAGCTAGCTATAATTTGTTAGTTTATCTTTACTAGTATGAAGAAATGATGATTGTTCTCACCAAAGGTAGAATATAGGAATCCTTGTAAAACATTAAACTTTATTCATTTATCCAAGCATAAAATTCAACAGAAATTATTTTGTGTAATAAAAGATGTTTGTCATGCATACAACTTCCCTTCCACCTTGGAGAACACACATCCACTAAATGGATTTTTATGTTATTACGATATCAGACATTAAAATGAGATAAAATGTTTTATTTCTGGCTAATATACTGAAACTGCATTTATACACAATCATAAAAATAGAAGCAATATTCTTCAAACCAGAAATCAACTGGTAACTGTTATCAACGATTTATATCACAGGGTTTCTCCACCAAGAGGCGAATTTCAGCAGGGGGACTCGATCAGCCTTTTATTTATCTGTTAATAATTCATAACTCTTATTATATCAAAAATCAAATGGCAGCCCTACAATAATAGTGTATGATATTTTTTCAAAACTGCTTTTTATTTTTTCTTAACACATTTCAGATTTCAGTTGTACAATGGTATTTTATGAAAGTGAATACAGTCAAAAGTCGTTAATTCGGACACCCATAATCCGGACCTCAAAGCTAAAAACTTTCTGCGCATGCGCACAGGCGTTTTATGCGTGCACGTAAGACCTTGACTACTGCGCATACGCGTGTGTGCAAGTGCAGAACACGTTTTCGCCTGCGAGTTTAATGTATAACGGATGGTGTAAGCTAAAATTATCTAATTATATATTTCAGTTAATGTTAATGATTGCGTTGTTCCTTAAACTTCGAATTGGATCCCGCTTATTATTTTTTGCAGACTGTAAGAGCAATTTTATAAAAGTAAACTTGAACTTTCGATTATGTCAAATAGAATTTCCGATGCTGGAACTTCCAAAGGATCTACAAAACGAAACTATGTTTCATGTCCAACAAACAAAAAGTGGAATTGCTGCAAAAAAATGGATAAAGACATGAAGAATGTGACAGAGAGGTTAGTGAAAACGAAAAAATTTCGATTGACAAGTTAGTCGGTATTCTCGGCACAGCAATTAACGGGACTTGAACAGCGGAACTTTGTAACTGAACAAGAAATTATGTCTGTATATAGAATTAAAGAGAAAGTATTATCACATAAAACGAAGCAACTTAAACAACTTACATTGAAAGAAATGTTTAATGAAGTAAACAAATAAATATTAAGCTTTTTTTTTTTTTTTTTTTTTTTTTTTTTTTTGTAAATTTTGATACCCTTTAGATCATAATTATTCTTTTTATTTCATAAATTATGGTTTCATATTTTTAATTTTAGAATTTCTGCATGCCATCTTACGCGATTTAAACTGATGATCTATAATCCGGAAAAATCGATAATCCGGAATCGCCGAAGTCCCGACGAGTCCGGATTAACGACTTTGGACTGTATATATCATACTACAAATTACAGAAAACACTAGATAATCAACCAACAAGCTTCTATAGTTATTTCTCAGAAACTGGCTACCAATGCAAAAATCTAAAATAAATTTATTGGAACATTCCCTTATTACCTGAAACATCAATTCCATTTAAAAAAAAAAAAGGGTTATAAATTGTCGTTACCCCAGCTCTGTCAACCTGGAAATTGCAATCAGACAAACTGGCTGCTGCCACAACAGGCATTTCAGGGGTATGGTACTATCACAACCGAAAATGAAGATATAAACACAGAAATTTAATACATTGGTTCAATATCTAGAAAACTGTCTAGTACAGTAACACAACATAGAATTTAAAAAATTATATCTATAAATTCTGTCAATCAGTTCATTGATGAAAATAGCACACCTTTTATTTAAATATTTTTTCTGAACATAAACATTCTATACATATAAAACGTGACGGGCCAAAAGGGAGAACAACAAACCAAAGAACCTTAATAAGGGATAGGAACACCCCTAACTATAATGGTTGCTTTGCACCGCCTGTCGATACTCAGTATCAGATTATCTAACGGATCTTGGGGTTAAAGTTCTCATTCTTCAAGCAGCATCTGTTTCAGTTGTCTGATGTTTTCTGGGGATTAAGATTGTGTTACAAGGCATCTCCTTAAAGTATCTTACACACATTCAAGGGGATTTAAGTCAGAAAAGAATGCTGATCAATTCATTATGTGGATATGTTTACTTTCCAGGGCATCCCTCAACAGCATGAGTCAGCTATTGTTATGCTTTATCATCCATAAAAACAAAGTTGGTACCAATGGCATCCTTGAAAAGACACATGTGGTGGATGACAACTTCATCACAGTAGCGATCTATGGTAAATGAACTTCTGTCAAAAATGTGAAGCTCCGTTCATCATTATACTTTCCTACACAAGCATGCCAAAACCACCCTAATGGTCTCTTTCCTTGATGTTAGTGGGTTGGATCTCTTTTTGCCTACAGGGCAATATATCGGTCATTAGTCACCATTGTTCCCCTTGAACACCACCAACCTGCCATTTGGATGGTTTTCCAAAGCTTGTGAAACAACACTTTTATCAATTCCAAACTCCTGGGCGACAGATGTCAAAACTTATAATTATTCTACCATGTGTAAAGCCATCCTGATGTTTCCTTTAGCTATACTGACTGCACTTAAATCTCACTTTCACTTGCAGAAGAATGCCCAGAAATACACCTTCCTTTCTCCTCTTTAAGTTTTCCACTGTGCATGGTGACTCTTCGTGTTTTGTGTGCTTTAATGCATCACCTTTCTACTGACTGGTTCTTCTCTATACTAATTGCAAAGAACCCCTTTTAAACATTTCACACTAATAACTACATTTCACGGAATATAATATTTTTCTTATTTGCCCAACAATCCACAGCAAATGAGTTATGCAATTTTGGAACTAGTACATTAGCCAAGTTCAAATAGCATAAGTTGCCTAGCCACAAGAGAAAATATAAACAATGAATTGCAGAAATAGATTGGATTACTTACATGCAAAATGTCTGTAGAAATGTGACTAGAATAATAAATGCAATAACCAAATTCTGATTATCCAAATTGATAAAAGCTTGTTTACTATATGTAAAAATGCTATTTGTTTCTTCCTTAACAATGGCTTTTCATATCTGCCAAAAAACTAGCACGTGCTTTTCTTCTCAATTCCAATCCTTCATATAATGAATCCATCAAACTACTCAGATTCTTAAAAATAAGTACAACATGATTAGAAATACTTGTGTGCAATCAGCACATTACTATAAAATTTTCTTATTTTACCATTATATTTTATTTTAGATGCAGACAATAGTGGACACAAATTATAAATTTTGCTTTGACATTTCTCAGGTTGTTAGAATTTACAACCATGGTGTAAAATATAGCTAAGAAATCCAAGATAAGAAAAGGTAAAATGGTATTTAAATGATTAACTTATGATATCAAGCAACATAATATCATATTAATAATGAACTTTTCTATCACCGATTGGCAATTATGTCCATTTATAGCAAACTGTTATATAACAATAAAACTCAGTTCAAGAATTCCAATTTTCAATGCTAAGTTATCAAAATATTAAGAATATATTTTACCCATCTCAGTAAATAACAGTAGAAACAGAAACAAACATCAGTCTTCATTAATCGAAATCGAGTTTTATAATATTACTTAACAGTTTTAAAAACTGGTAAGACTTTTTTGTTTGAGAACAGACAATTTTTTGCCTGATTCTTCATGTAAGTCTTTTTGAGATGTACACAGATTAGGATTGCACTTTACAATTTAATAAATATAAATATACACGAATAAACACTTTATTTTTGTACTAATTAAACTTTAGCATTCTGAGAGATCTTATTCTTAAAATAATAACTAGAATAAAGAAATAAAGATTTTGAAAGTTAAGCAATGTATAGTCTTGACATATCCACAAATAACCTTACCCCCAAAACCAAAACAGGGGACATTAAACTTTGCTACAGAAAGTGAACAAACGATGATAGAATCTTAATGAAGTGAAATACAGCATTTTCAATACAGTCTTCTCACTGCAATTTGAACATAAAGACCCTAGGACCTGATACCATTCCTCTCACACCAGAAAAATAAACTACTATAGAAGAAAAAGTACTATGATCTGGTGAGGTATCACAAGGGATGCTGACAGAAGTACGTTTTGCATGTATTTTATGTCCTTGACAGAGGTACAGAGTGAAAATTTTTTAAGAGTTCCATGTACAATTTTTTAGCAGCAATTAGCTTTCCATTCCTTTTACAGATGATAATACTTAGGCTTAACACATGAATACCTTCAAAGTGCAGATTATCAGAGTACCCACTGGAATGCACATGGAAGGCCAAAGACAAGTTATCAATTGGCAATTAAAACCATTTAGAAACTAATACAGTGGGTGATCGGTTAACGAACAGTTCAGACAACGAACACTTTCAGGAAAGATTTTTGTGTTCGGACAATGAACAATATTTGGATAACGAACAAAAACTAATTCTAATGAAAACCCCTTGGCTCTCGAAACACCCAACACCAGTCCTCAATTCATCCTGCAAATGGATGTCCGCGTGCGCTGACACGTCATTATTCATACTATGTAGCAGTGAGCGCACGTAAGACGCGATGGTAGTGTCTGATGGACCTTTGTCAATTGTTGTACCATGTTGGTTTCTGTCTTGTGATTTTGTATGTGCTTCTCTAAACGCCTTATAAAAAAACCTGAAAATCTGACAATATTATGGGACATAAAAAGAGGAGGTCACGAACTTGCTCACATAAAAACCAAGCAAGAGATTATACTAATAGAGAGGGACAAAAAATGACTATGTTGCCAGGCAGTACGCTTGAACGATCTACAGTAGGACAATCCTAGCAATAAAGATATCATCAAGAAGACCATCCGCTAAAGGGTACGAAAATACATCGAGAGCAAAGAATCACCATCCATGAAAAACGGGAGTTTATTTTAGTTTGGATATAATGGGGGCGAGATGAAAAGCGATGTAACATACCATCATCAGCAGAGAATTTTTGAGAAATAGACAATTGAAAGACAAACTCAGGTCTTCATCAGAAAATCTAGAATTCAAGGCTAGCACTGGCTGTTTTGCAAAGGTTAAAAGGAGATCTGGCATTAAACATGTGGTCATGCATGGTGAGTCTGATAGTGCAGATAAAAAAGAAGCTGAGAGGTTCCGTCTCAAATTTCAAGAATTCATTGAAAAAGATGGGTATTTAATTTTTAGGATCTCCAGAACAAATTAATCGGATTCCCATTAACATATATGGTAAATCGGTGATCGGTTAACGAACAATTCGAATAGCAAACATAATCTTGAAACAGATTACGATTGTTAACCGATCACCCACTGTACCTGTTTAGAGCAGGAGTTAGTGCAGCTCTCAAAAGAACTCATCGGTTGTTTCCACATTTCAGCTGTTCTATTAGAGGTGATTGTATTTTACTATTATTAACAGTATCATCTTGCAATTTTAATTTTGGACATTCTTACTCTCATAAGTTATCAACAAACATGAATGAGCACTTTTGCTATTACATGGTATAAATTGCTATCGTACATTTGACTCATTTGCCAATATAAGCAACAGCAGACAAGACTTGATAAAGTCAAGACAGGCACTACTGAACTATCTCTTTTGTATTGGTGCTTTCCTATCGATACACATCACTTATTGCCAGAGAATAAGAAAATTGAGTGCACAGTGTTCCCTGAATTGTAGACCAGCTGCTGGTCCATGCCCACTTATTCCAGATGGATGATGTGGATAATGGAGAAACAACTGGTAAATGATTTCTTACTTAATAAATGCATATCAAATTTCCCTTTTATCTATTTATTTGAGAAATCTGCAAATAGTTTGCTTATTCTCTCAATTTTTAATGTAAATGCTCAAGACTTTCAATGTGTCCCCCATACATTCACAAGCCTATATATTTTATTGCTCATGCAGCATTTTGCTGGAGAATTTTTCTCATCTTCCAAACTTTTCTATTATTACAGTATATGTTAAATGTATACAGTACTTTTTTACTCAACTCGTCTTTGAAAAAAAAGATTAAACACTTGGAATCTTTTACTTCCATACATGCTGCAGTAAAAGATAAAACTGTTAATATAGTAAGTATAGTACACATTATTACATTAATCTAGTAATATCTTACGTGTAATTTATTGATTACACTTTGGTGTATTTATTTATTCTAAGTTAACACATGAAATAAGGCATAACAATTATGTGTGTAATTAATAAGGCATACAATTACACACAATAAGGCATGACACACATTATATAAATCATAATTAAGTATACTTTTTCCCACATAAAACCTCATACAATCATGGCTTTTAAGAACTAAGCAAAATAAAATAAGAGATTTTGGCCTAATTCTCAGATAATTCAAGGTGTACATTTGCATATAAAAACATGATACATCTAATATAATCACAGAGTTCTGTAAGCACCATTTCCCCCATATTCCCTATGCTTAGTTGCATAGATCTGAAACATGAATATAGACATTCAAAAAGTCTCTGCACTTTTTTGCCATTAGATGGTATTGATGTCTATATATCCAGCAACACTCACCCGATTGTCTCAAATGAACATGTGCTTAAAAGGTGGCATTCAGCTTCCTTTGTTTGTCAACACTGTTTTCTAATTTGTTGCTTGTGTAAAAAATATATTGATTTGAAAATTAATTAAATATCTGAAGAAATATGTTATGTGATGCTTTTTTACTATAAAAAAGGTAAAAAGACTGCAAAACCATGCCGAAAAATTTGTGAAGTGTATGGTGAGAATGACGTGTGAACGAAAGACCCAGGAGTGGTTTGTTTAATTCTGTTCCGGAAATTTCAATATCAAAGATGCACCTCGTTCTTGTCGGCCAGTCACTGAAAAAGTCAATGAAATTTTGCAAATGGTGGAGCATGACCAGCATGTAAACTGTCAGGAAATAGCAGAGGGGCTAAATATTAACCACACGACCGTTTGGAATCATTTGAAAAGAGCAGATTACAAAAAGAAGCTCAATGTTTGGGTGCCACATAAACTGCAACCTGGCGAAACCATCAGTTCGGCCCTGTACTGTGCACACCTCGATTGCTTGAACAAAGCAACACAGAAAGAACAACCAGAATTGGCCAAAAGAATGGGAGTTGTGTTCCATCATGACAATGCACGGCCATACACATATTTGATGTATCCATCATATAGGCTGAACCTTGCACCATCTGACTAAAATTTTCTTTGGTCTCTGCAAAACAATCTTGATGGCAAAAAATTGGCCGACCAAAGAGCAGCTGAAAATCGCTCTCCTAAGTTTTCCAATGATAAACCATAGAAGTTCTACATTGATGGAAATATGAAGCTACCCGAAAAATGGCAAAAGTTCATAGATAATTATGATCAGTATGTATTTTATTAAAACTCATTTTCAACAAAGAAAATTTTTGTTCAAAAATGTACCAAAAAAGCGCACAGACTTTTTATATGACCCAATATTAGAAGCATTTGCTTTTACGTTTCCCACTAGCATTTTCCCATAACAGAAACGATTAGCAATATTTCACTACATTATAGTCCACTTAGTTTTCACTTATGCTTTGATGTTCTCCCTCCATCTCATGCCAACCACAGTATGAATATGGCAACAATGCCGTTAAATTTTGATTCCAGTAGTACCTCAGTAAGATGTGAAAAGACAGCCATACTTAGACTCCCTGAAATACGAGTCACTTTCTGAGGTAGTTGTCTATGAAAGATTTAACAGTACTTCACTAAAGACTGATACTTACCATTCATTTCTTATTTCTGTTAATAGATCACTAGAAGGTAAACCATTCGGTATTGGTTCAGCAATACCATCCAACTCAGAAAGATGTTCATCAAGAGGTGTCCACGCCCTATCCACCACAATCCTGCAAGAAAAATAAGAAGATACACATTTTACTACCAGAAAAGAAAATAGTATATTATTAATACAGTCAGCAACACATTATTTCAGGTACAGTAGAATCGCTATTAATTGTTAACCTTTTCGCTACGGCGTACCTTTGTTTAAGACGATCGTACGGGAAGGAAGGGAATTGAAGGCAGTCACCGTACAGGACGGAGGTTGTGCGTTGCTAAGTCTAATTTTATATTAAAAAAAAAAAAAAATTGGGAAAAAAAAAAGTTTCACTTCTAGCATCGTAATTTTTTTGTATCATTTTAGATTATTACTTGAGCTCATATATGTTAAAATTAGCACTTAATACTTTTTTTTTTCTTTATTTTACATGAAATACTAAAAAATTGCTATCTTGTAAATATTTTCGGAAGCGCTATCCAAATTATTCCAAAGTTTTAATTGATAAAATCCATGAATAAAGTTTAAAATTAATAACAACACAATAAAGATATTCAGTAAGAAGGACAAAATTAAAATTAAGACTGAGTTGGAATCTCTAAGGCACGGAGAAGTATAACTTTCAAACTCTTAGAAAAGTATCATTTTTAACTCTTTAAAAATGAATCACACTTTTCATCTTTTTAAACGGTTCCATTAACCATACGAGGGTATTCTTCCTCTGATAAATAGTGCCTTCCCGCCATAATAGACTGGAGGTGAGGCTTTCCGAAATAAAAAAAAGAAACACAAATATATCTGAAGGCAATGCAAAACGTAACAGTACTCCATGTACTCACCCTAAAAAACCGTACATAGTAAAGGAAAAAAATAGAATAAAAAAAGGAATTGGATATAAATCAGACACGTGAATGTTTTCATTAGCACCCAGTGATTTAAAAAGCTCACCTCTGTTTATGCTCCCCCCCACCCTCGCAAGAGTAAAATACCAAAGTCAAGCAGAATATATCAAACTCAAGGTCAGGAACCTAAAAGTGTGTTTATTTCAAAAGTAATGGACACAGGATGCCATCTAGTGGCCTTCAGAAAAACGTTCCAGCTTAAAATGCATATACGCATTACCCGTCCTCTGAATGCAATCTCTAGCGATGCGTGGATGGGATGCCCGGCTGTAAGAGACGTTCTTAAGGAATGTGTATATGGGACACCCGTCCTGAAAGGGTTAAATCAAAGATCTGCTGATTCCCCCCAAAAGATCTTGCCGGATAATTGTTTATATTAGAATTTACACGTTTATATTTTGTGATACCAACTCACAAAACTACAGAAAAGTGTGCCAGTTGTCTTTTTTTGAGATATTGACTATAATTAAATTAACAATGTAAAAAATCAATTAGATGTTTTTAATCTATTTTTGCATCTTATAAAATTCAATTTAAACAGCATTTAAATTTGCAGTACATATGAACATAATTGTGAATTTCTTAGTAAGAGAATATCACATAACTTTGAAGGTCAGACTGATTACATGATACAAACTACGAGGGCCATCCAGGAAGTAGATTACGTTTCCGTCTGTGTCCGCTAGGGGGCGGGGCTAGCGCGGCCATCTTGGGGTCAGAGCGTTGCGCAGCTCAGTCTGCATCTAGCCGTGCTAGTGAGAGGTTCGTGCTGTGCTCCGTTCAGATACTGTGACGGTTTGAAATGTCTGCGTTAATTGAAAATCCCGCGAGCTGCGCTCAGTAATAAGGTTTCTGACTGCAAAAAACTGTAAACCGATAGAAATCTATCGGCAGCTTCGTGAAGTGTATGGGGACAACATTATCACTGAAGGTGGAGTGCGTCAGTGGGTCATAAGATTTCAAAATGGCCGAACCAATGTTCACGACGAAGATCGAAGTGGGAGACCAGCTAGTGACCGCCGAACTTCTCGGAAAAGTCGATGCTAAAGTCCGTGAAAATCGAAATTTCACAATAACGGAACTTTGAGTTTCCACAAATTTCGCGAAGTTTGTTGCACGAAATCATCAGCGAAAAGCTTGGTTACCACAAGTTTGTGCAAGATGGAAGGCAAGAGAGGTAACGAAGTGGTTGAAGGCGCAGGGCGGCGAATTTTTCGACGAAGGAATTTCCAAGCGTAATACACGCTACGATAAAGCCTTAATTTGTATGGTGACTATGTAGAAAAGTAGTATTGAGTGTGGTTTCATCGATAAATAAAATTTGTTTCCTTACTTTGTTTATTTTTTTATTCCAAAACGTAATCTACTTTCTGGATAGCCCTCGTATAAAAATTCATTATGCACATCTTATATGCTGATGCAGATGAACAGTGGTGGTATATGTTGATATATTTCTTAATACATTTCTATGCTTTCTTCTTAAAAGTAAGAAGAAAAACAAAAAAGTTTCACTAGTAAGAAGTGTTTTTCTTTTCCTTATATCCTCTACTTTTCACTAGACACAAGATGGAAAATATAAAAAATGCTTTTAATCCTATCACATAGACAGGCATTTATAGAAAGGAATTTTTCTGTTAATAAAGAAATTGAACACTGACAACTTAAAAGATTCATATTATATGTCTTAATGCATCATAACACAGGGCTGACACCAGGCATTGCCCCACCTGATGCAATCTCTGTGAATCCATGCCTGTCCTAAATTCTAAATGTTTTTCCATTTCTAGATTTTCTTGCTCAGTGTGCCACTAAAATCTAAAAATTCTGCCACACCAGTTTCGTAAACAGCCCTTAACCATATATCATTTCATATTTATTCTGAATGTTCATATCACTAAAGAAATAAAATTATCAGCTTTTCTGCACATTCTAAATGCATTTAGTTTTTATAATAATAATAATCTTTTAAATCCAAAAATTCTAAAATGAAGAGGAAACATACTGAAGAAAGAAACTGCATACATAAAGGCAAAGAAAATTATTCTTCAACGATATGCAGCTATTATTATGTAAATTAACTAGCTGTTTACAATTTAGCCTTTACTACATCTTTTCCTTTCAGTTTCCTCACCAGAATGGAAATCAGTTAAGAGAGTTTTTAAGCTGAGGTTTTTTTTTATTGTAAGACTGTTTCTGGCCCTCTGCTTGTATGCTGCATTAGTTCCTCCCAGCTTTGATAATCTGTAATTATTTGTCGTTATGTAATCTATGAACAATATATTTTATCTAAAACAGAATTTTGACCATTTCAAAATTTTCTGGATTTCAGAAAGTTAAAAAAAAAAAAAAAAAAAAAAAAAAAAAAATATCTTTAGGCAGTTGTTAGATGCATTTATAGATTTCTCTACTACTTTAAATGATGTTTTGTCAAGTAATGGACTACTGAAGGTGGTGAAAAAGATTGGGCAACAGAATTTATTCCTGCTTGTAATAAGTACATTTTTTTAAATATAAGCTGATTTAAATCCTCTGATTAAAATTAGTGAATTATCTAATGAAATTTTACTATAGAAAAATATGGTGAAAAACAAGAAGAAATAAAATCTTTTATGAAATGCTTTTATGAAATTACACATGGCAAGTTTGCAAATACTGCAATTACAAAATTTGACAAACTTACAATATTTTAAAAACAATTTCAGTAACTCATGATACATGTTTAAAAAAAAAAAAAAAAAAAACAGTACGACAAGCACAATCTAATCACAAATGGAACGGAATAATGTGAGAGGATTATTACTTAAAGCATAGTAACAATGCATACTCAATTAAACTTACAATATTTTTAAAACAATTTCAGTAACTCATGATACATGTTTGAAAAATTAATCAGTATGACAAGCACAATCTAATCACAAATGGAACGGAATAATGTAAGAGGATTATTACTTGAAGCATAGTAACAATGCATACTCAATTTAATCTTTTTTAACTGAACACAATTATGGTTTTAAACCTCTCAATGTTATGGACGGAAAATTCTGTATAGAAGAGTAGCTTTCGTAATCATTACACATGAAATTTTCTGCCGGCTATTAATGTATCTGATGTCGGTTTGGATGTATACAAGAAGAAAAGGAATGAAAGTACAAAGTGAAAGAGTCATTTTTTATAATCAAGAAAAAATCATTTATTCATGACATTTTGAGGAACTTTGAAATTTCAGGGCTAAACCAAACCACAATGCTTGGAAGGTTAAAGGATAATTTAATAACAATTAGTAAAACAAGAAGCATTTATTTCTTCTTGTTGCAAAACTGGAAACAGCAGTAGATCAAATATGTACACTGTGCAAAAAAAAAAGGGGGGGTACAGTTCTATATCTCCCATTCTACTCGTCTGATTGACGAAATTCAAATTGAGTTTTCCATTCTCGAAAGCACAACTTAGGATATATATTAGATTTATATATAGCATTGTTCAAATACAGGTATTTTGACACAAAATTCAGACCTTTTTCTGAATTGACATGCCAGTTTTTTTCCATATTTCCATTCTACGACTCAAATTATGCTCAACTGCCAAGTTTTGTAAAAATCGCATTAATTGAGTTTGATATATATTTCAGGGTTGTTTATGGGACCCCAAAAAATCCCCTGAAACTTTTACAGACTTACTACCGACATTTTGGAGTTTCGAGAAGGGGGGGGGAGAAATGAAAAATTACAATTACGAAGTATTGAATGGCCTAATTATAAAAGTTCAATGAATTACATTTTTTGCAAAATTAATAACCATAAATTTTCAAACATATACCAAACTACTACATTTTATGTAAATATTTAAATTACCTGAATTAATTCTTTAAAAAAAAATTATCTAATTTCCTGCTGCTTTTTTTTATTTTCTGATGTTTGTGGGCTTGTCTTTCTTTTGTGGTGAACTTCATAATTGCAGGAAGGTTGACTTTTATTTTCCTCATTAACAGTTGAAGAAATTTCCTTGAGAACTGCACATGCAGAGGTAGAAGCAGTTTTGCTTTTCTGCTAATGTAGAAGGTTTATCAGAGACTTTTATAGGTGACTCATCTGAAATACATGTTTTTAAGTCCTCTTGATATGTTTTCCAACTTCTGTTCATATTCAGTAAGAGATCTTTTTGAATTGGA